ATTATGCCCTCTCCCTTCTTGCGATTACAGTCATTTTTGGGGGAATCTACTGCGTCGGACAGAAAGCAACATTTATCTATTTTTAAAATACATTCTGTGGACAAACGACGGTGGACAAACAGACAGTAGATAGTTCTATTGTTCATCTATTTATTCTCGGTGAAACCTGCTCAGATTAACCTTGTACAATCATTATTTCATTCGTATTCAATCCAGCTTGGTGTCCTTGGATTCCTGACCTCGGAATACAGCTGTTTTTCAATTCTCCTTTATGGCTTTATCATGGAACGCACATATTATGGAGATAGTTTACAGAGAGCAAACTTAAGACTCATCGGTAGGTGGAGAGACTTTATATGCAGTAAATACGAAGGTCACGTCAGTGGGACGGCATTCATGTAACCAGAGCAAGGCGGTAACTACAATTGTACGGACTTCTGATGACCACGATATACCAGACATATCTGGGTCTTCTTCAGTTATCAGACTTTTCGTCTATTTATTACCTATTATCCCGAAGAGAAAATATTCAGAAGCGTTTTTCTGAAAAGATTTACGGTTAGGTAACAACGTTGGAAACGATTGAAACTACTGCGTGGTACTGTTAAACTCTGCAGATCTAAAATTCCATCTTCCTCGCCGGCCGAATTCTAACTATGACATACACTTGATTGTGTAGGCAGATCTTCTTGCCGACAAAGTCAAGGGGGACTGGAATTGCCATTTCTTACTTATTTGCCGTCGTCAGCTAGTCATCCCCAGACGAATACCCCCGGCAGGGCAGGACAGATGGGCTCTATAAGCGGTCGGGTGAACGTTCACCATTGAGTGTCAATACCCCTTTACCTAACCTGACAAGACAACGAGCTCGTAGCTAAATGGATAAGGCGTTTGAGTCCGATCGAAAAGGTCACCAGTTCGAGGCCCGGGTGGGACGTCACTTGAGTCTGGGTATGATTGGCTGACAACGGTTATAAAGCTATAAATTGTCCTCCCACTCTCCTTCGTCTTTGCCGGTAATACTATCTGCCTATATTACCAGCTGCTACGGCTGTCAGGGCCTCTGTTAAGACCCCATGCAGGGCGAGACAGATGAGTTCCGCTAGCGGTTGGGTGAACCTTCATCAATGAGTATACACTTGATCCTCTTTTTTATAATTGTTAATGAACTGGGAAAAAACACTGTCAGGCGGTTTTAAGTGTATCAGAATTTAAGAGATTGAATGTATTTGCAGGTTTGAAAGAGTAGCGACAACTTCGGTAATGTCATGGTTGTGAGAAGCGAAACGAGTCACTAGGCTACGCATCTTGTCACAGCTAGTAGTGTCGACAAACAGAAGGTTCCCCCAAATCACAAGTGAAGGCAGACGGTGTTGGTGGACAAAAATGTACTGCCGGAAAATAGACAGTACAGAGACTGTGTTGTGTGCCAATCGCCAATACGTGTGCTCTGCAGATGTGTCTAAGAAGTTGTGTATTCGCTGCAGTCAAGCCTTGCCTGCCGGGCTGTGGAAGAGTAATCAATCGTCTGCCGCCAATCAGAAGAGGCGGAATTATCGATTACCTATGAGTGTATGCGCGTATGAAGTGGCGAGCGGGTCGGTAACACGCGGAGTAGCTGACTAAGCACGGGAAGAGCAAAAGCAGAGTCAGCGCGGCAGGTTTTCACCATCTCAAGACAGGATCAAAAAGACTGGAGGTGGGGTCGGACGCAGGTGACCGGAGCCACCATGCCTGACTCAGGTTCCACGGGGCGGGACTGCCATAAAGGCTACGGGTGATTGGTGCGGAGTGAGCTTGCGCCTGCGCGTGCCACCAACACTCCTACCTCCGTCTTTGACATTTTCTAGGAGGGAGCGCAACCCAAATAACGCCTACCTGCACCCTAATCCGGCTCCAGTGTTGGTTTGGCACATTTATAAAGGTGCCTGTTCAGAGGGAGGGGGAGGGAGGGCAAAAGCACTTCCTGCTGTGAAAAGAAAGAAGGTCCTCGGAAAATCGACTTGTACTCGTGAATATTTAAGTAGGTAAAACCGGCGCGTCATCAGATGAAATGAAAAGTGGGGCGTGGGATTGCCGCACAAGAGTGTTTGGTTAGGGGAGGCAGGTAGACAGATGTTCACGTCAGGAGGGAGGATAACCATGTCAGGGTTGGTGTTGAAGGTCGGATAGGGTTCACGTGTCGGAGGATGCCGCATCACTGCATTTCCCCTCGGCCGAGAATCAGTAAGCGACTGTTCTAGGTGCGAGTCATTGAGCTGTGAGTGTACGCCTTCGTATCGAGATCTACGTGTCTGTTAATGCTGGTCGGGCTCGAATGACAAGCTTTGAGGAAATCTCTCGCTTGCCTCGATTAGGCCATGGCGATCACCTCGGCGCTGTCCCAATTGAAGTGGTGGTCACATTTACGGGAGTGTGCCAATACGAGTGATAATGGATCCCATTGATGAACGGCTAACTGATGTTCGTTGATGTGAGTCTCGAGACGTCGGTCTGTGTGGCTAACGTCAAGATAAGGACAGCTGGCGCATGATATGCGGTAAAAACTCTACTTATTTGTCCTACGAGTAGGGTGTCCTTTAGTCTGCATAGGGTTGCGCTTCGGGAGGATGCAGGCTTCTGAGCAATGGAGATTTCGAAAAGACTTAGTTGTCGAAAAATAGCTTCGAAAACTCCTTTCAGGTAAAGCAGGAAATAAACTTTCCATGACACTATATCTCCATTGAGAAGGAGTTTTTTCGCTTGTCCCTGACGCTTGAGGCAATTTTTGACAAAGCTGGCTGGATGTCCATGGGACCAGAAGAACTTATATAAGTACGCTAGTTCCTTCTTGAGCAAGTCATCACTGCTGTTATGGCGGTAGGCATGTTGGAAAAGAGAACGAACATAGCTCCTTTAATGGGCCGAAGGGTGGTTAATGTCATAATTAAGGATGTTTTAAGCCGTGGTGTCCTTTAGATGGACGCCTGTTGCGAGTTCAGCATCAGAAAGTCTTTGTGTTCTCACGTCCGAGAATGAGATGGTGTATCCTGTTGCTTCTTTGCGAGTATATTGTATTGCTGGGAAAACAGTGAATACTGCAGACTTGCGTGCTTCTGAGTGTTTGTATAGACGGCAGCAGGATAATTGACCTTGGATTGATGACAAATGGTCATATATGCATATGTAATGGGTCTACGTGCTTGTGCCTTCCCAATTGTCTGGGAGGTGTTGTTTTTAACCAGCCATTGGTTGCAAGCTGTAGTTGTGCACTGCGAGTTTCATAAGGACAAGGGAATATTTACGGATATTTCCTTTTCCGTTGCTATGTAGATTCCGCATCTCCCACGAACGTAACTTTTTGGTGCTCTGCATTCGACTGCTATTCAAAGAACTCTGTAACAGAAAATCAAAAATGTTTCGTTTGAGCTCAAACCATTCGTGCCTTTATTCTGTTTTATACTTGATTTAGGCTTTCGAGGGCCGACCTGTTTAAAATCCAGATTTTAATAGTTGACACCGTTCACTGATCTGTTAAATACATCAAGTAGCTATTCGAGTTAGTTAGTCGACTAAGGCTTATAATATGTTTCCACTAGAAATTTCTTAAAAGCTGCAGCTTCTCTGTTTTAGCCTTTTCAGCATCAAAACTAAATGTTTTAGTCTATACTTGGAATTCTATGGTCTCATACGAAGAAGCTCGTCGTCTGTACCTTCAGAAAATATGCCATTGACTTCCTTAGTAGCAGAAAATTTATCTTAAGGAAGCTTAAAATTGGAACTTAATTACTGTTTTAAATTGAATTTAACCAGTCACATTTAGTATTTAAATACTCATTTAAACGAAAGAATGCATGACGAAAGAATATGCACTTTATAAATACGTAAAAATAAGACAAGTTTTCCCGTCGCTTTATAATCTAAGATCTAGTCCTCTCAGTGAGTTTAGATTATACATCCTGTCTCCATTTTTCCAGGGCAATAACATAACCCGGGATGAACAAGATAATAATGCATTGAAGCATAAAACTCGAACAGGAAACTAAGGCCGGCTGTTGGAAAAGGTTAGCCGTACTGTCCCAAGGGACGCTCTGCTTGTACTAAAAAAATTCGTTGACCATTCGCTTTCTGAGGCAGAAAATGTCGAGTTTTCACCAGACGCAGGTGTACTTGTACCGTCTTGGTAGTTAAAGTAGACATGGCTGTAATTATTCGTCTCAGTTTTGCAGCAAATATTCCTCCTTTTGTGAGCTCTTGAGTTCCCTTTGTCTATTTTAACGCAATGCCACGCAGCAAATAAATAACGCAAAGCACATCATCCATAATTCAGCCACAAAATTAAATAAGCCTTCATTGGGACCGTAAAGTAATTCAAATATCTCCTTTATCTCCAATTGTAACCTAAAAATGATAAACCGACGCAGAAAAATTTTGTGTTCATCCTGTGGAAAATGTTTAGTTTCGCTTCTTCCTTTCATCTGAGCTTATAAGTTAATACGAATATTGTCAGAGTGGCTTATATGTATGTTGCACTACAGCATCCCTTGCGCTAAATCCCAAAGAGATCAAATATTCCCATGCCCTTACCTTAACGCTAATCCTAGCCCAAACCTTTGCCGAAACCGCAACGATAATCTGTTCCCTAAGCTTAACTCTCGCTCGAATCTTAACCTTACTTAACCAGAAGTCTTTTGCTAGCCCTTATTCTAACTTTTCTGAAATTTAGCGTATAATAAACCTTATTGCGGGCGGTGCTATATGTTCTGTCCTGTCGATCGGATTCTTAGCAGCTGTCTTTATCAACTTATTTGAATTCCTCAACTTTATTCCCGAGGGTTTCAGCCA